GGGAGGGGGGAGAACAAGGGAATCCGTGACCGATATGTAGAACTGAATTGTATTGCAAAATAAATTAAAAAAAAAAAAAAAAAAAAAGACTAAGCAGCCGGACAAGCCTTGTCACGTGGCTGAGAGCCAGACAAAGAACGTGAGTGGGCCGGGCGAGGGGCGGGGAGAGGTGGCGGTCCATCCCTCCATGTGAAGCTGACCAGGAATGGCTTGAGACAGAGCTGCGGTCTGAAGTGCTCCGGCTGTTACAGCTCACGAGGCAGCGTTCATCCCGGGCAGATCACTTACTCCATTTTTGCAACAGCTTCCTTCCCCAGGCACGGAGCAAACGCAGCCTCTTGGCGGTAAGCTGACTTCGCAGTAGCTGCTGGGCACACCTGCCATGTGTTGGGGGAAAGTAATTGAATTGGCCCTCGTCTTCCTTCTAGAAGGACGAGTTCCACTGCTGAAAATATTGCCTCATCATTTGCCTTTGAATTGGATCTGATGATCTGAACAAAATTCTTGATTGTAGGCATCAACAGAACATTCTAGCGTTAGGAAGACACGATCTACAGAGCTCGCGGATTCCAGGCCTCTCTGGCCGGCAGTGGCACCGTCGATGGAAAACACTTTTGGCTCTAATGGGGCCATTGCTACCTGACAGTCTATTGCCTTCTTCATCACCGTCTGCAGCAGGAACTTCTGACTCAATTCCAGTTTTATCCCTGGCCTCTCCTAGGTCGGGTAGGGAAGCGGAAAGAGCGAGCTGGTACCCTTGTAACTCGACGTGCTTGAAAGGTGAAGCCTCCCCTCTGAGTAGCCGCGCCCTGCCGCTCCCGTTTTTTTGCCTTTTCTTTCCACAGCTGTTTAATTACATGTTGCTCTTCTCTGACCTTCTGCAGTTTTTTCTACATTCTTCGCAAATTGTGGACTTTGAATAACAAAACCCATCAATTAAATGGGTCAGCAGTTTCATGGGGTGGTAATTTCACAGATAGCTTGATTCACAACCCCTTTCCTCATAGGCATGATATAAAATAAACCTTCAGAGCTACCGAGCCCCCAGAACGCGCCACAGCTCCTCACTGGAAGCTGGAGTTGGGCAAAAATAGCTCAAACTAAGACCAATCGTTCAAGGAGCAGAGGCTTTGAAATTCTTTTGTACTGTGCTCTGAAGGACGGCTCTCCCTCTCCTGGGTCACCAGTGAACATGGGCAGGTGTCCCTACAGAGGAAGTGTCCCCTCACTGGAGCTTGAAAGTCCTTCTCTGAACTGTGCTGGCATGGCCCTTGCTGTCCTTGGAACTGGCCCCAGCGTGTCTACACCGGGAGGCAGGAAGCCTGCTGCTTATGTGGAAGCAAGAGAGGGAGTGGTAGATATTGTAGAGTCCAGCACCCCACTCCAGGTAGAGTAGCATATGCAGTGATTTGAATCTTAAATGTCCCTGAGAGGCCAATGCATTGAAGTCTCAGTCTCCTAACTGGTGCTCCTTACTGGGAAGTGCTACCTGTGAGAGGTCATGTGGGACGCCCTTAGGTAATTGGATGAAAGCTCTTGGAGGGTTTTGTGGTGCATCCTTCCCTTCCTTCCTTTGCTTTCTGGCCCTGAGGCTTTTCTTCTTCACACACACCTTATTCATACTGTGCTGTCCTTACCGCAGGCAGGGGCAGCAGAGCTAGCCAGTTGTGCACCTAGACCTCCAGAACTATGAGACCAAGTAAACCATATTTGTGTGTGTGTGTGTGTGTGTGTGTGTGTGTGTGGTATTTGCATGAGTATGTGTTCATGAGTGCATGCTTATGTACATGTCTCTGTGTGTGCACAGACATGTGGGGAGGCCAAAGGTCAGCATCAAGTATCTGCCTCTTGCTCTCCACCTTACCTTTGGAGACCAAGTCTCTCACTGACTAGAGTTCATCAACTGACTAGCCTGCCTGGCCAGGGTTCCACCTTCCTTTGCCCCCCTACCCCCCACCTCCCAGCACTGGAGGTGTAAAAGATGTACCACCGAGCTCAGCTTTTACATGGCTACTGGGATTGAACTCAGGTCCTCCTGGTTACCCAGGAAGCCTTTAACCTACTGAGCTATTTTCCTATTCTATCTGTGCCCTGTGTAAGTGAATTATCTCAGGTATTTTGTTATGCTTATACTTATACTACATATTAATCAATTCTTGCTACTATACCAGAGCAGAACTCCATGGCTTAGATAATGTAAACTTTTTCTCACAGTTCTAGAGGTTACAAAGGCCAAAGCCGAGGTGCCAACATGGTTTGTGTCTCGTGAGGGTTATCTTCCTGGCTTGCAGACACTCGCTCACCTGTTGATGGCCCAGGAGAGCTTTATTTGGTACATTCATATGAGAGAGGGGTGGAGGGAAGGGGAGGGAGAGCCCCCTCTCCTAAGGGCACTTCATCATATAGGCAGGGGTGAGTGAGTAAGGCTAATGTCTGGGCATGGAAGAAGGCAGGGGACAGTCTAACGGCAGATGACTCAGTCCAGCTTTGCCGCTTACTGACCTTTGAACTATATAGTGAGCTCAGAAAATGATGGCAGTCTTGATGGGAATTTCAAATCAACCTGAAGAGGAAACTCTGGAGGTGAAGGAATGGAGCTGGAGTTTGAAAGGTGAAGCAGGAGATGGTGACTGGAATTGTAACAAGATGTCCACTAGAGAAATGGTCCTGCGATCTAACTTTAAAATGAGTTGAGACCATGGTGTCTATCAAGCAGTGATGGATCTGGCCTCACAGAGGCTGTTGGAGATGTTTGGGTATTGGGGCTAGAAGTCAAGTCGTGCATGGTTCTAGGGACCTTTGGAAGAGTTGGACTCGGATGCTCAGAGACCAGAGAGATAGAAGCCAAGGTCTCCCCAGCATTAAAGAGAGAATATCCGGAAAAGGATGCTAGACAGCACATGGTGGAGATTAAAGGTTGTAGTTAACTGTCAATACTGACTGGAGGATTCCTGTGCATTGACTAAAGCCTGTTGGCTGTAAGATCTGGTTCTACTGACTGCAGTCTGTGACTGTGGTGGGTCTGAATGAGAATGACCTCCAGAGGCTCCTGTTTGAATGCTTAGTCATCACTTGGTAGACCATTTGAGAAGGAGTAGGAGGTGTGTCTCTGGGAGTGGGGGTGGGCTTTCATGATTTAAAAGTCTACACCAGGCTCCTGCTTTTTGTCTCTGTCTCTCTGTCTCTCTGTCTCTCTGTCTCTCTGTCTCTCTGTCTCTCTCTCTCTCTCTCTCTCTCTCTCTCTCTCTCTCTCTCTCTGCCTGCTGCCTGTAAATCAGGATGGAAAGCTCTCAGCTAAATTGCTCTAGCACCATTCCTGACTGCTTCCCACCATGATGATCATAGACTAACCCTCTAAATCTGTAATCGAGTTCCAGTTAAATGCTTTCTTTTTTAAGAGTTGCTTTGGTCATGTCTATTCACAGCAACAGAACACTAAGACAGTGACCAAGCAGACTTTGTAGCTCTGTTAGTAGCATGAGCCTCACAGGTCTGGTGGGTCCTTGTGCAGTCCCAGGGGAAAAGTATCCAAGGCTTCCAGTTGGGTCCTTGGCCGCCTGACCCAGTCCCTCAGTGGCAGGTGTATGTGGTCCATCTTTCCAGGATCTCATGTCCAAATAACTTATTTATGATAAGGCCTCCTGAATGATTGTCTTGAACAGCAAGCTAGAGGCTCCTGCTCTGAATCTGTTTAGATACAGGGGTGCCTGGGCTGGCAAGGGATGAGATTTAGTCATGAGTAGCCAGAAAGGAGTAGCATTGTTTTGGAAAGTTGAGATTGTAAGAGGAACACCAGGTCTGGAAGGTTATGGCTTCAGATGCATTTGCAATGTGTTGAGTGGGAGAGCAACAGGTACCAGGAAAAGAAGCCACAGGGGGTGAGATGCCTAGCAGACAGGACAGAGCTCTGGGCCATGAGGGTTAGTCGGGCTGCATGATAGCTAGTTTCTCATGTGACTGGGGAGAGGGGACAAATATCTTGGGAACCTGGGATCAGGGATTAGGACTCTAAAAGATGCTGAAGAGAGCAGCTTGGAAAATGGGAAGAGCATGAGGTGATGGAGAACCACAGAGCCTGGAGGGGTGGGATCTCTTCGGTGCATGGTCCTTTAATGGGCAATGTGAACAGCACCTTGTAGCATTTGGTGACCTCTCTGTGACCTTGAGAAGCAGGGTTTCTGTTAAGTTGTGGAAGCTGAATTACGGATGTTGGATGGGAAGTAGCTTTGTCTCCATAGTCATTGGTTATTCCTGGACCCAGGGAGACTAAGAATATGGGAGCAAAGCCAGTGTCTTCCCTGATTCGTGTAGCCTGTAGAAAAGGTGGGCCTCGGGCTAGATGATGTCACACACTTGAACAGTGGTTTTCTAAAGTATGAACACACAGTGTATCAGTGTGCTAAAGATGACATGGGAGAAGAGAAGCAGGGGTGATAGTAGGGTCCAGGGCAAGGATAGTCAGGGCTTGGTCAGGAAAGGGCCACATGGGCTGCTGGGATTTGGAGTCTAGAAAGTTTCAGAGCTGTCCAAGGAGATATTGCTTATTATCAAGGTGGGAAGCTTTACTGAGAACACAGGGGCTGGAGGGAAGGTGGCATGATGGGCAGCCACATCACTCTTCAGAGTGGCCAGTGAGTAAGGGGTGGCCTAGCCTTTGCTCCAGGGGGTATCTCCCATCCTTTCTGTGATTGTGTAGAACTCAGCCAAGTAAGTTAGAGGACTGGAGAGCACTCAGCAGCTTTGTGGAGAGTCTGGAAGCCCATCCCTCACATACCCTGAAATGCAGTGCACGATGCAATCTGCTCTGTAGTGCCTGGGGATCTTGAGCTGCCAGGTGAGTGTGGTCACAGGCTGTGATCATCTGGAGTGGAGATCCAGCTCATGGGAACACCACTCTTGTAGTGTATGGATTTCACATGCCCTTTCATGGGTGGAACAGGTTGACGTTGATCTGAAAGATGGCCAAGTGTCTCACCTCCCTCTACTCTCCTTCCTTCCAGGTGCTGTTGTCTGGCCTCATTGGTGTCGTCTCCTGGAAGAGGCCTCTCTCACTTGTGGTAAGTGGTACCTGCAGCTCCAGGTGGCCTTGGACAGTGCTTCACCTGCAGAGGAGCGAGTGTGGCGGAGGCAGTGGCAGCCAGCTTTCAGCTGTTGGCAGGAGGTGGTGCCTAGTGTCTGCTATGTGCTGGTGGCAGACTTTTGTATATAGTGTCTGCTTACATGCTGACAGGCTTTCAAGAACTTCTGTGCATTGGCATGCTGGGTTGGCATGCTGTACTTCCCAGCATGCCCCTTGAGTGATTCCTAAGACTGTCCTACCACATCCTTTGTCTGTTGGCTTTGAGGCTATCCCTCGAGGACACACTGAGAACAAAGACATTTTGAAAGTCTGGATGCTGATGCTTTCTCCAGTCACTAAGATCTCTGTGTGCATGGGCAAATACTTACACAGGAGATGGGAACAACACACATTCTACCAAAGTTCAAGAAATGCTAGTTTGGGGGAAACTTAAGTAATTGCATGGATAAAATATTCTTTCTTGAATCATTACTGGGCAGGGTGAGGAGGCGTGGACCACACCAGGGGTGGGAAAGGGTGATGGGTTTTCCCTCTGAGAAGTACCCCAAGCATCTCTGTGTGTATTGATCTGTAGGCTGGTCTTCTCAGTGTGTGCATTAAAATATTGATGTGTCTGTGTCAGGACTAGAAGAAGAGCATTGATGGGCACTGAACAAGGTAGTGTGGTTATGTTCGCCTTTTGTATTAATCAATTATTCAGAATCTTGTTTTAAGTGATAAGACTGGGAGATAATGACGCATACTAAATATTAATGGAAATGGGAAAAAACAAATGCGTTTGTGGAGTGGAAGATACTTCCTTCATGAATGTGACTGTGATACTCTGAAATGGTGTCAGGGGAGATAGTGGCTTGAATTCGGTTGAGCTTCCTCTTGAGTAGTTCGGTTCACAGAAGAGTTTATTCAATTTTTTTTAATATAGAAAATTTCAAATGTGCAGAAAAGTAGAGGGGGAGGCTGATGTAGTGAATCCTGGTGCACCCTCCATCCTGCTTCAACAACAACAAAAAACAGCTGGTCTTTTCTTTTTTCTTCTGTGTGCTCTCCATACCGGCTCCCAGCCCTTCCCTTCTTGGATGAATGACCTTATGGCAACTCCAGCATGGGGATCAAGAAGCTGGCTCTGTGTAGGATGGGTTGGCAGTGCACACACTGGCTGGGGACCAGCCGTAACTTCTCAACGCAGGGACAGTGTGTTCCATTCCTCCACGTACCCCCACAGGACAAACAGATGAAGACCTTGGATGCCAGCCGCCTAACAAAAGAGACTGTGTTCCTTCGGATGGATGTAAAAACATAAAACTTTTGTCACCCAGCCACCCCCTCCTCTATTTCCTGTCCTAGTCCCAGAGTGGAGATCATCACAGGGTGGCCAGGATGCAGGTGCCTTAGAAATACCTTGTGGATGTGGCTCAGATGTATCCTGGGAAAGCTGGAGAGGTTTCGGAGCCTGGTGCAGGGAGGAGGGGATGGCAGCAGCTGGGCCTGCGGAGGCAGTGTTCCAAGTGATAGTTCCCGAGTCCTGCTGGGTGATTGGTGTAGGACCAGCTGCTCTCTGGAAGGTGCTCACATTCACCTTGCCTTGATTGATCTCCTCCCAGGGTCCAGCTGGAGGATGAAGGGCTTCACTGGGGACATGCTAGCCACTGCGCCAAACCCCAGATTTTTAGTGCCTCTGTGCAGTGCAGATTTACTCCCATTGACTCTCCTGTGCAGACTCTGCCCTCAGCAGATCCTTTCTCCACAGAAGGTTTTAGAGAGATTGTGGGTCTTAACATTTAGGGTCCCCCTATTCCCTATGCCTGTGGAGTCTCTGGGATTCAGTGAGGACACACGGGAGGTGGGGTTGGGTCTCCTTAGCCTAACAGTTATGCACATCCTGTGTACATCTCATGGTAAGAACTTGTCACCAGGCCATTGTTACATAGGAGGCTTGCAGATGCTGCCTGTCTGGACAGACACCTCTCAGAGGCAGCTGCACACTGTGGAGGGAGGGAAGTTTTGATGGGTAGTTATTTGTCTCTCCCATAAGAGTGTTCTTTGGTCTGTGCAGAATCCATGGATACAGAGGCCCAACTCTACATATTTACATATCTGTGTATCAGTCAGGGGGTCCCCAGAAAACACAACAAACAGGAGGTATCTAGCTAATCTCTGCCTGCTCATCTATTAGGGTATTTACTTTAAAGAATGTCATGAGATTGTTAGCAAGACCAAAATTTACAGCCTGGGCCTGTAGGCTAGCCCCTCAGGGGAGAGTGAGTGTCCCTTGAGTCTGAAGCCTGGTCCCTTCATTTGGGAGGAAGTCATTCTTTCTTCTCATAGGACTTTCAACTGATTGGATGAAGCCCTATGAGAAGTCCCCACATTAGGCAGGGCATTCTGCTTTATTCAAAGATTATTGACTTAAATGTTCATTTCATGTAAAATACATAGCAACATCAAAACTAGTGTCCCACCAAGTACCTAGCTAGGAATTATGTGCTTGCCACGTTGACACATGTTTTTGGTTGTTTTATTACTCTTTTGGGGGGGCCTGCTACCCAGTTCCCAAATAAATCACACATGGAGAGTTATTATTACTTATAAATGCCTGACCTTAGCTTGGCTTGTTTCTTGCCAGCTTTTCTTAACTTTAAATTATCCCATCTACCTTTTGCCTTTCTCTTACTTCTGTAATTCTTACTTTCCCTCTTACTCTGTGGCTGGCTGTGTAGCTGGGTGGCTGGCCCCTTGCAGCCTCCTCCTTCTCTTGATCCTTGATCTCTCCTCTTTTCCTCCCAGATTTTTCCCTCTATCTATTCTTTCTGCCTGCCAGCCCACTTATCCTTTCTCCTGCTTTGCTATTGGTTGTGAAGCTCTTCATTAGACCATCAGGCAAAGCAATACAGCTTCACAGAGTTAAACAAATACAACATAAAAGAATGCAACACATCTTTGCATCATTAAACAAATGTTCCACAGCACAAACAAATGCAACACATCTTAAAATAATATTCTACAACAGACACATGAAAGTAGCTGTCACTCAGGATTATTAGGTGAATGACCGAAATGCTCCATTTGCAGTAATACCATTCAAATACTGTGGGTAGCAATGGTGGCCCTTGGTTGAGTGTGATGTGTGTGCTTCTCTTCCCAGTCATACAGGCAAGAATCAATCACTTGTGTATTTTAGAAGAGAAGGGGAAACCTCCAGGCCTTAACACAACTAACTCATACTTGAACTCAAGTCCTTGACTCCAAAATCCTTTCTCCCACCCAACCTACCATGGGCCTCATAGACATCCCCTCGTGCCTGCTGGTTCTTCTGCCTGCTGCTTCGTCTCTAACTACACATCCCTTGAGTTGTACATCGCCTTTCACACTGCCACACCCCAGCCTGGATGCTGAGGACTCACTCTTACATCTTACATATGTCTTTCCATACTCATCCACAGGGTCTCATTTTTGCCACTTTAATATTTGTTCACTTGGCCCTCTCTTCTCTGTGCTTTTAGCAGGCCCCAGCCTCCTCTCACAACATCCTAGCATAGACGATTGACAGAGCTCGGTGCCTGTTCGGTTTTTTCTCAAAGCTACTTGGCATGCTCGTGCACACACACACACACACACACACACACACACACACATACACACACACACCAGTCAGTATCTGCCTAGGACATTACACCTAAGGCTGTATACTTCTTAATAAAGAAAAAAGGCATATTTAGCTCACAGTTTTGGAGACAAAGTACAAAATATGGTGGTCTCATTGGTTCAGCCTCTGTTGGGTCTCATGACACGTGGCATCACGGTGGGAGCGTGTGCAGAAGAGATAACACGATGGGCCAGGAAGTCAGACACTAGGGAGCAGCCAGCCTCATCCTTTCATAACAAACCATTCTTGCCGTAGCTCACTTCAGGAGACAGTCATTCCTCCCTTCTGAGGACACAACCACAGTGGCCTAACCTCCTCCACTAGGCCCTATTATCATCAAACTGAGAACCAAATTATAACCCATGAACCATATTTACACACTCAAGCAACAGCCAAGCCATGACATCATGTAAAGCATGCTACGTTCAGCTCTCCGTATTTAAGACCCTCTCAAGTTCCCCAAATCCAGAAAATAGAAGTAAGTTTTGTAGGTGATGAGTGAGTTGTGAGGAGCAGAGGCAGATGAGGGGAGGGGCTTGCTGGAGTCCTATAGCTAGAATGCCTTGAAGTCTTTTTTAGTTATAATTTATCCACTTCTCTCTCTCCCCCTCCAACTCTTACATATCTCCCCTATTCCATCTCAAATTATTGACCTCTTCTCTAATTATTGTTACACACATGCGCACATGCACACACACACACACACACACACACACACACACACACATACAACTTGCTGAGCCCATTTAGTGTTGTTCTTACATACATGTGTTTAGGGCTGACCACTTGGGATTAGATGACCTACCAGGGGTCTGTCCCTGGAGAAAATTGATTCTCCCTTTTTTAGCAGCCATTAATTGCCATCCAGGCGTGGGGCCTTATGAGGTTTCTCCCATTATGTGGGCATGTCAGTTGGCGTTGTCATTGTGATATTTTGTTTGGGTGACTATGTTGAGATTTTATGGATGAAGTTTCCATCATGCATAGAAAACACTATTTCACAGCAGAAGTTTGGGTCCTCTGGCTCTTAGGATCTTCCTGCCTCCTCTTCTGTGATGTTTCCTGAGCCTTAGGTATAGGCTAAGGTTGCATTATAGATGAATGAATTGGAGTTGAAACCAGGATATTTTCTAACTGTATCCTAAATACGTGTATCCTTATAGCTACAGATAGGTGTAGTTCTCTCCTCTCATCAAAGAATCTTCTTTTGCTACAGATGGAGACTATTTCAAAAAAATCTACAACTGGCCAAAACAGAGAACAGCAGACCTTGAAGTCTTGATTTCTTTTCCCCAAGCTGCTGTGTTTATCCTCTCCCTAATGATGGCCCATCT